AGAGATGGGCCAACTTGTCCTTCATTCCTCCTCTCACCTCGGACTGAGGCAGTGAGATGTGGTACTGAGACTGAGAGCCACTGGGCGAGAAGGCATGCCTGCCCTGTCACACACTGGTTTTGGTCCTGCTGGGTGTCCCAGCAGTGACAGGATGATGCATGGGGTCCCTGCACTGTGATCCAGTTCCCCTGAACTAAGGCCAGGCTGAGGACACCTCGGAGGTGAAGCTCCCGTAGCAGGTCTGTGCAGGCTCCTGTCTCCCAGGCGCTGTTAGGGAGCTGAGACCCCAGGGCTGCTCTGTGCCAGCCAGGCGCAAGCAGGGATGGAAATGAAGCAGCAGGGATGGCTGCAGGACAGAAGAAGAGATTTCACACGGCTGGGATGGTGAATAACTAGAAATAGTTGAAAGAAAGGGGCAACCCAGCCTTGCAGCAGGCAACCTGAGCTCAGCTTGGCCACCCTGGTGAGTCTGAAGGGCTGTGGGAGAGGAAAGCCCCGACTGGGCCACTGTCCCCAGTGATGAAATCATCGTGCAGGGCAGAATTTCCCCCCTGGTTTGTGCCAAACATGGAGTGGGCTGTGTGGAAGCGGCCTCCCCTCTGCTGCAGGGATTGCTGGGCACACCTGGCCGAGGAGGCAGGGTGTGGGGTGTGGGCAGGCGAGGGTGGGCCTTGGCAAAACGGGCAAGGCTCAGGTGTTCACATTCCTCCTCGGATTGGCCACGGAGAGAAAAACCTGGCCTTATTTGGTCAAAAAAGCCAGTGCCGGCTGCTCCTCCTCCTCCTCCCTGCCAAGGGACGACGTGTGGAGAGGTGTGGATGGGCTGATGGGGTCGGGCATGTTTTCCTCCACCCTTCCCTTGCTCTCCCCTCCCTTCTCCCGGTGCCCTGGAGACAAATAGAGCGTTGGCTTTGCAGCCAGCGTGGCTGATTTCTGGGGCTTGGGAAGAGGCTGGTTCCCCGCAGCCAGTGTGCCTGCTTTTGTGTCCTCTGAGAGGCAAGGAGGTGATGGGTGGGCAGCCAAGGGTGCCCCTTGGTGGGGCTGGAGAGAGCTTCGAGCTCAAGTACACAGTAGGGACAGTAAAAATCACTGATGGTTAAGCCTCTTTCCTGGTTGCTAAATTCCCTGCTCAATGTCCTGGGCTGGAACGTTTGATTAGGAAAACTAAATTACATCCCGTGCCCTCCCCCCCCACCCCAAATTGATCCCATCTGAGGCTGCAAGCAAAACCAAATCGGAGAAGCTGAGGCATAGTTTTGTCCAAGAACATGCAGGGAAAAGAAATTAAACTCTTGTCTGTCCCCAAGACTAGGGGAGTTCCTTTTTCCCATGTCTGATTTCTTTGGTTGAGCTGCTTCAGTTCCTGGAAAAGGCTGTGCCAGGCAGCAGGCCTGGGAGATGAGCCTGGAGGATCCATCTTTCTCCTCCTGTCTTGTGCCCCGTCTCCTGGAGTCGTTCCAGACATGAGCTGGAACCAGGGGGAGCAGCTGCGGGTGAACTGGGACTGGCAGATTAAACTCGGTTGGAAATTGGAGTGGGCTTGAGGGTATTTTTGGAAGAGTGCAATTGCCCTCAGTGGGACTAAGTGTAGTGGAAAGTCTCTATAGAGCTCTAGGCCATCCTTTCACCACCCCAGGAACACATTTTCATCTCACTTCCCACACATTTAACAACACGGAACATGTAGAGGGATTTTTTTTTCCGTCCCTCCGGTACAGAGCATGAACACAGCTTGTGCCAGACTTCCCCAGTCTAAATGTACTTGTCTGTGTGAGCCTGTCTGCTCAGTGCCCTGGGGAGCAGTAGAATATCTCTGCTTCTGCCCAGAGGAGCATCCCTACATCTGGAGGGAACAGAGAGAACCAGAAATGCTACCACGTGCAGCTGGAGAACTGTTTCATGGGGAGCAGATGGGCTGAAAGCTGAGTTTCCAAAGGAAAACATGGTTCATCTCTATGAAGTTACTTTCAGTGTTTTCTTGCAGGATTCAGCCCTAAAAGGATCAAGAAATGGTCTGTCCCTGCAGGTTAGAAATGGTCCATGGCCTTTTTCAGAGTGGGGCTGGCAGCACAGCCCCTAGCCAGAGTTTTTTGGCATTGGCCACCAAAGCCAGACACCGAGGAGGGGAAGGTGACAGGCTCATTCCCTGGACTGGTGGGATCTGATCACAGGAGGTATTTCTCACTCTTGGTAACTCTGCTGGGAACCGATTTTTCCCTCTCCAAGCAGATCCCCAAACTGATTCGAAAGTGTGTGTGGGCTATGAAGGAATGAGATCTCAGTCTGTGTGTGGTGAAACAAATCTGGGCCAGCCAGACTGGGTTCCGGGCATGATTTCCACCAGGATGTGAGCTCTTGGTGGATGAGGAACACGCTTTAGGATCAGGCAAACCTCTGTGTCTCAGTCTACCTCTGTACTCAGCCACTGTTCTACCCTCTTGAAGCATTCAGGAAAAGATCTTGACCACACTTTGGTGTCCTCTTTTTCAGTGCCTGGAAGATGTTTTCCTGTTCTCCTGGGAGGCTGGGCTTGCTGGAAAGAAGGAGGGGGTGGTTTGGAATGTGACAGCTTAAGGGATTCAGGGCTTGGAGGCCTCTGAACCTCCTCTTTGGAAGCGTTTGCAATGGTGTCACCTGCCCAGGAGAGGGAGCCTGGAGCTCACACTTGGAGGCAGCGGCCCAGGTATGCAGTGCCCTTAGATGTGGTCTGGGACTCAGACTCTCCCTGCTTGAAAGACAACAGAGGAGCCCTGCTGCTTCCCTCTGTCTGCTCTGGCTTGTCTTCTGGACTCCAGCCCAGTTGCTGTTGTGTGGACGTGAATGCTTCCCTGGTGATCTTCCCTGCCCCACTAAAATCAGCTCTGCCCTCTGCTTTCAGCACACGGATTTATCTGTCCCTGGGTTTTGCCCCTGGGCTTTGTCTTGCAACTGGGCTGCGTCCTGGACATCTGATGTCTCCTTTCCCCACGCTTGGGCAGATACTCCAATCTTTGGCTCCAGACAGGGTTTGAGATCATCTTTGGGAAGCCTGTTGCAGTTGAAACTGATACGACTTCACCTGGAAATGGCTGTGCTTTGGATTGCACTGATGTAGCTTGCCAGATAACATGGATGAGCTTGCCTTTATTCCACTGATCCCTTTAGCAGCAGCTAAATCTGTGTTACTGTGCTGGCTCAGCATCCTTGCCCTTGTAGGACTGTTCTCCCAACACCCCAAAGGGGAGCCTGAGATCCCAAGTTGGTGGCATTGCCTGGTATTTCTCAAGGGGCATGATGCCCTTCAGAGAAAAAGATACATAACTTCCCCAGTGAGTTTAACAGCTGGGTTTAGGGCTGGCTGTGTCTCTGGTGTAAGAACAGCTTCTGAAGTTAGTTCTGAGGAAGGGACTGGTCCTTCAGGTGAGGTCAGTGCCTTAAGGGTAGTATGGTGGAGCGGCGAGGACGAGTGCATGGGCAGGTACAGATGTCCCGAAGCAATGTGACTGTCTCAGTCATAGGTCAGCTCCCATCAGTGGGGTACAGGAATTATTCTGCTGCATAAAATCATTGATACACCCTTTCCAAGTGTGAATAGGGAAACTGAGGCACAGAGCAGTGAAGTGACTGAGACAGTGAAATAGTGAGTTGGGTCCTTCTCTTCTCTGTCCTAGAACAGTAAACTGGACCCAGGAGTCCAGGTTCCTAGTCTGGCCTGAGGGCTCTTTCCCATTCACCCAGGTGCTGAAGGCTCAGAAGCAGCAGAAAAAAACCAAACCAAAACAACATATGGCAGGGAGGGAAAACAGCTAGAAACTCTCTTCTTTCAGGACTGGGCTGCTGTTGAGCCTCAGCCCTTTCCAGCCTGGCTGTGAACACACATCTCTGACCTCCCTCTCCTCCAGTTCCCCCAGGCTGAATGTTCAGGGCTTCCAAACCCTCCCTTTCCATTCAGTTTTCATTCTGGGCAACACTAGAAACTGTGTTTCTTGTGTCCACGCCCCCTCATGCTCACAGAGCCTCAGCCCCCCGCCCCGCCCCTGTCACAAGGACACAGGGCTGTTCAGTGGAGCCATTCATCTTCTGGGCCTCACTCACACCTTGGGCGTCGTGCAGCCCTGCACAAACCCCGCATTGTTCCTCCAGCTGGGAGGGCTTTTGTCGAAGGGCTCTGCTGGGTCCTGCCTCCAGGGGAAGCTCTGCACTAGAGCGGCGACTCCTCCTGAGCTGCAAATGGCTTGTACTCTGGGACCTCACTCATAGCTCCCCCCTTTCCCACCCCTGCCAGCTTGAGAAACCAGATTTAGCAGGTGGGGACTCTATGCTGGCCTGTACTGTCCTCCCCTCCCCTGCCCGTGGCCCCTTTGAGCTGACCCTGGAAGTGCAGGGTGGGCAGCAAACTGCAGAACAGAGATGTTCCCCATCTCAGGTCCTCTGGCACCTCTGGAGGCCTCATCTCTTTTGGGTCTCCCACATAAGTCCCTTAGAGGAGGATGGTTTTGTGCAAGAAAGACCAAGAAAACCCCTGTGCTCTGGAGGGGCACCTCTGGAATGAAGGGTGTAAGTGTCAAGCATGAAGTGTGGTTCCCCAAGACAGATGTGGGCCCCAGCTGCACAGAAGTTCCCCTTTGCACAGACGCAGGGGGAGTTCAGCGAGGGGGAGCTCTGCGTAGGTGAGTTCAGTGGTGAGAGGGTGGTGGCCTGTGCAATAACCATCTCCCAAAACACACTTGAGCTGCTCTGGGATTTGAGGCCACATGGAAGCCTGGTGGCAAAGCAGCAGTGAGCTCACCCAAGCCTTGGCTGCTGGCTCTGCGTCTGCCCCTCCAGCCCCCTGTAGTTCTCCTGGGGCTGGGGACCAAACCAGTTACCTGGGACGCAATTTCAGCTTCAGCCAGAGTTTAAGCCAGAGCCCTCAGCTGCGACCTGCTGGCAACTGGGGAAGGAATTGCTGTTTCAGGTGGGCTGTTGTAAGAAATTTGGAGAAAACCATCAGTACAATGCGTTCTGTGTGACAGTCAGTGCTTTATTATAACAGCCATAACCCCAGAGAGCCAGTGTTCTGGTTACAGAGACGGTACAGCAGTTGTCTATCCTACAGCAATGTGGAAATATGCCAAGAGACTATTAACAACTCCCTGGGAACTCAAAATCTGGGAACTCAAGTGGGGCTGCGTGGCAGTGGCTGAGGCCAGAGCCTGGCCTCGTAAAGGAAAATACTGCAGGGCACTGTCTATGTTAGTTTGCGCAAGAAGGCCACAGAAATGTCTGCGTGGAGGCCAGAACATCCCCCGCCCCCATCTTGCTCGCAGGGGGACACGACATCTACAGAGTTGGCTCTGGTAGCTTTGGTGTGACCTGACTGGTGTGCACTGGCTGGTATCAGCCGGGTAAGGTAAAAGCTGCTGTGTGAGTTCAATAAATACAAAGACAAGTCCTGCTCCTTGCATTGAAATGGGAACCAATATCCCATTTCTAGGACCGAGCACCACTGTGCGTGGAGTCTGGAGTGCCTTTACATGAGACAGACGGAGATGCTCTGTTAGAGATGGCTTCTGAAAATAAAAGTTTGGAGAAGTTTTAGCTTTGGTGGCATGGGAAGGAATGAGGGGTCACCCAAAAGGCACTAAAATGAGTTAAATACTCTGGAGTGGCCCAGGCTCCCCTGGCATGTTTGTCATCAGATATACAAATCCGGATGTCGCAGATGTACCTAGCTCAGGGTGTTTACCTGCACCTCCCCACCAGCCTTCCTCCAAAAGCCACATCAGTGACACCTCACAGACTCAGAGCAGGGAAAGAGCAGAGAGAATGATTTTGTAATACTGGTAAAATGGCTGGGCTGATGGCTTCTGGCTGTTGTGTTAAAAGCTTGTGTAGTAATACTTTCCCCTCCTGCCAAGTTTCCTATAGGTAGATCTCAAAGATGGTGAATGCAAATCCTCTGGGGAAACAGACCTAGAGAGGATGATGTTGGTGTGAGTATCTGAGTGGGAGAGTCTCTAAAATCCTGGGTTGGTTTCTGCTTGTAACTGGTAACAGAGATTTTAACTGGGACGTTGTAAAGACAAACTTAAAGGAGACAGCCTGGAGTCTCATCCTTTGTCCTCGGACATTGGCTTGAGTTCAGGAGAAAGTGCTTTGGCCTCATTTGGCTACAGATGCCAATGGGTCTTGTGTTTATGCTGCAGGGCTCCAGTTCTCTTAGGAGCATTCTTCAGCGGGCAGGGAACTGAGTTTTGGCCGGACGCTGCTGCTGAGGGCCTCTGCTTCAGGTGTCGCTGAGCCCTCGCTGTGGCTTCTGGAGGGCAGGATCTTTGTGCTGCCTCCGTCGGCCTTCGTCTCACCGTTGGTGCTGCCTGTTCCTCTGGCAAACAGCTTGGAGTTTCTCAAGGTGCTGGCAGAAACTGCAGGGGTGGGGGGAAATGGGAGCAGGGAGGTTAGAAACGTTTCATTCACACTCTGCTTTACCAAACTGTAAAAATAAAACCACTTACGGTGCTTTGGTCTGGAGAGGACGGTGCTGATGACTGTGGGTATTGGTTGCTCCATGCTGTGTACACAAGGACAGAGTGTGAGGACACGTATTAACCTCTGCAATGCCAGAGAGATGTAGAGTTTGGCCCACGTGAGCTGAGCTACACGGGTAGAGCCAAGTGCATGGTTGGATGGTGAAGGCTAACTCAACAGCATCTGGACAAAGCATCTTCTAGAGGAGTGCTGGAACCCTCCAATCTGGCGAGTCTAAGGAAAGCTTCAGAGCAAGAGACAGGGCTGAACTGTATGGGGTCTGCTGGGCTTTGTGCTTTCTTTGATCAAACCTTCAATACCAGACTCAAAGCTTGGGATGTCTGCTTTCTCCCTAGGTGTTTGGGTGCATGCCTTCCCCTCTTCAGGCACAAGGAAGCCCAACTTACCTGTTCTCTTCCCCTTCCATCAGCTTCCTGTAGGTGAGGATCTCCACATCCAGTGCCAGCTTGATGTTCATCAGCTCCTGATACTCTTTCACCAGGTGAGCCATATCCTCCTTGCTCTTCTGGAGGGCTGCTTCTAGCTTGACCAGTTTGGCTTTGGCATCCTTGAGGGCCACCTCGCCGTGCTCCCCTGCTTCTTTGATATGCTCCTCTAAGTGCAGGCACTGGTATTGCAAAGGGAGAAGGGTGGTGGAGGTGTTAGGTGTGTTGTAGTTTCAGACCTGTACGTCAGAGTGTTGTCTCCCACCCCAGGACACACCTGGCTCTTTTGGGACACGATGCAGGACCTCAGCTTCTGGATCTGTATGTTCAGGTCTGCGATCTCCCGTCGGCTGTCAAGGAGGTGACCCCCATAGGTGCCTGACTGGGTGCTTCCTTCGTTCAGCTGCAGGAGAGATTAAAGAGTGGGCTATTTGCGTGCCTCCTCTGCTCTAGCAAAGGGATCTGCCAGGATTCCCACTGCCCTGGAGGAGAAACACCCGACAGGGACAGACTAGTGGGTGTGTGGAAGGATTTGGGCTCATTCTTATATCCTCTTCTGGCTGTAGCTGTGCCAGGAATAGAGTGCACTGTCTCTTGGGGCTAACCACATTCTTGCTCTGCTTGGAGGAGGCACCAGTGGAAAGTCATTTTCCTCTTAGGTGGGACAAGCTGCCACTGGGAGATGTAATTTCCTTTCTCCACTGGCAGCATGGAGAGCCTAGAGCAATGAAACTGCTAATTTACACACCCTAGGAGGAGTTGATCTGGGTTAGCACCCTGTTCCTCCCCCCATTCCCAGGTGTAGTCTGTCCCTCCACATCTTGCTGATTCCTGTAGTTTCTAGGCTGATCTCTCTCCTTCTTCTTTCCCTGTCTCTCCCCTGGATCAATCAGATAAGGAGACAAAATACCTTTCTCCTGGTAAGTGCTTCAGCCTCCTCCCAGCTCCGAAGAGCCAGGGCTTCGTACTGGGCCCTCACTTCTTCCACAATTCTGCTCAGATCAAGTTTGCATGCATTGTCAATTCCCAGTACAACAGAAATGTCCTTAATTTCTGTCAGCAGCTCCTCGAGTTCCTGAATAGCAAAGAGAGAATAGGACTGAGATACCAAGTAGTCAACAAAACTACATGGCAGGAGAGCTGAACCCTGGCAGAGCTGCTGTGCTTGGCCAGGCAAAGCATCTTCCATATGCAGCGTGGAGATGGTGGGATTTCCTGGGTTTTCAGTCTCCAAAGTTTGGAAGCTGATATTATTTTCTCCTTAAAACCCAGATCCAGGTACTAAAGTGTTGGTTTGGGATCTTTGGATACAATTTGTTAAGAGTCTGACAAAATAGTGCATTTGTACTGCATCAAGAGCAGGTTAATTTGAACTTGCTGATCATACTTCAATATCTATCAGTATTCAGATGATGGGCATCTATTCCTGGGTGAGAAATAGGGCAGCATGAATCATTCTGCAGGCTGGCGGTGCTAGAAAGATGCCTTTGCTGAGCTCTGCTTCAGTATCTAGAGAGGCTGTGTCTGCCACTTCTGTTATTATAGTCTGGTTAGAGAAGGGAGAGCCTTCTCAGAATCCCAGAATCATTTGGGTTGGAAAAGCTCCTCCAGCCCAAGCATGAGCCTCCCCCTGACCCTTCCCAACTCCCCCAGATCCCTCAGCGCTGGCTCAGCCCGACTCTTCAACCCCCCCAGGGATCCCGGGGACTCCCCCCTGCCCTGGGCAGCCCATTCCAACGCCCAACAGCCCCTTCTGCACAGAAATCCTTCCTCAGAGCCAGCCTGACCCTGCCCTGGGCAGCTTGAGGCCATTCCCTCGGGGCCTGGCGCTGGCTCCTTGGCTCCAGAGACTCATCCCCCCTCTCTGCCCCCTCCTGGCAGGGAGTTGCCGAGGGCCAGGAGGTCTCCCCTCAGCCTCCTCTTCTCCAGACTGAACCCCCCCAGTTCCTCGAGCCGCTC